CGGATGGCCTTCCTCTGCCCTGGCTCAGGGAACCGAAGTCCAGCCAAGTTTATCAAAGGCTTCCGTCCCTCCCTTGGTTTAGGGTAAGGAGTGGCCTCTCGGTCCTTGACCGGTTTTCCTCCCAGAATGAGAGGGTTTCTTGGCCGACTGTTCCTTAGCAGGGACAGCCGTACGCTTATCAATCAGATCCTTTATCTCCCCTTTGAAACTGTTCATGAGAGTCATGAGCTCGTTTATAGTGATGGGGGTGGATCCTTCAGCCACCTGGAGATGACCAGTCGACTGGCCGGCTGTTTCACTGGGCCCTGCCTGGTTGGTGTTCCGTTCCCTCCTTTCGGTGGGACGGACACGCCGTGTCGTGAGGGACCCGTGAGGGGCCGTGTGGGTGGCGACTTCATAGTCGTCATCGGTATCCTAGTCTGAGTAGACCTGGACTTCGGCCATAGGTCGTTTCTCATTAAGAGGTGGTACAGGTTCTTGTGAAGTCATCTTTGAAGTACTCTCCTCACAGACGACGCCAAATGTTTCGGGGTTTTTTTTATGTCCTTCGGGAGAGTTACAATTCCAAGACTGACTTCTGGACGCATGTACCTGCAAAATAACAGAGACTCCGGTGGGTGGGAGTTCCGCCTCCGACGATCAAGTTAGAACGTGTATGAGGAGTAAAGTGCGGAAAGTAAAGTCTCTCTCGGATTCCAAGAGAGTATCTGCAATGTGTAATTGCTCTGTTCGAGGTGTCAGGTGTCTGACTTTCTCTGATGGAGAGTTAATGTGAATTAAATATTTCTGAATAGATGTTCCTCAGAGCGAAACATCTCCCTTTTATAGGGTGCTGAAAAAACGTGCTCAGTACTAGGTTTTAGTAAACCTAGGGCTGACTGGGCCTTGCCTAGGAATTTGGGCCATAGAAGGCCACTTTCCTAGGTGGCAATCTGCCTGCCACGTGTCGTGACCTGATTGGTCCACCTTGGACCTCTCACGAGGTGACACGTGGCAGGCTCCGGTTGGTTTACGTGGATGACATGTGGCAGGGCTTCATTAGTCCACGTGGCGGGGAAAAATTCTCTAATCACTCACTTTGATGCCGCAACCTTCTTTCTATCAAAACAATACACATGTTAGTAAACTTCAAGAAAGTTAAGTCAAAGTAAATAAATCAAATATGAATTAAAATATAGATTTGGGACCAAATCCTCAGAACTATCAACCTTTCACGTCGAGGTCGAAGGCAACGTCGAGGATGGCTAGGAGTATTCAAGTCTCGTGAAGGAGGTATATATTGTGATTGATTTGGAGAGTATCAAGGATGTGTTTAGGCTAAGGTTAAGAACATGGGATCAAAAGAGAATAAGAAGAACTAACGATGATTGTTGGTTATTCTGAAATGGTGGAAAACGACCTCTATTTATAAGGAAAAAAGAGAGTCAAAATGATCAGAAAATATCAGAATTTGAATCGGAATAGAACAACTTTCATCGCGGGGCGATAGGCTTATTGCAGCGCGACAGCGTCCATCGTGACGCGATGGTTCTATTGTCCTGCGATGGATTCCTAAAGATAAACAGCCATACAGAGTTTGATTTCCAATAGAATTGGGTTAACGAAATATCCGTACGTCTTCTATTTTGAACGGGATTATGATTATCAGAAAAAGAGAAGTTTTATTTAATATCAAACTCTTTGATCTTTATCTTTTCGGAAAGGATAAATTATAACCTTCTAGAGACTTCTAGAAGCTTGTAATGAATCCTAATTGGTTTAGGATTGAAAATAAGGTATTTGGATCATCACATGATTATTGGGTCGTAGGTAAGATGGACCTAGGTCCGATTTAGGCTCGGTTTAGTATTTTGGCCATAACTTATTTGTTTTATGTCGGATTTGGGCTTATAATATATCATTAGAAAGATCTTTTCAAGCCCCATCCAACTACATAATAATTGGACTAGGATTATGGACCATAATAATCTAGGTTGGACGTTTTTATGGATTGGACACGAAATGAATGATTTTAAGGACACGAAATGAATGATTTTAAGGACACGAAATGAATGATTTTGGAAATAAATGATTTTAGATTAAAATATTTTAGGAAAGGTTAGGGGTATGGTCAAGGCTTAAGGAAACTTCCAGAGACTCCTCAACTCCTTACCGAACTCGTTAATCAAAGACGTGAAAGGTACTCATCAATGGGTTTGGTTTTTGGGGAGACACAATCAGGTGTCTACTATAACGATAAACTTTTATATTCCCATTTCATATTCTAAATTTTATTTTTCCATTTCCATTATCTTCATTTTTCAGTTTGAACAAATTTAAACGCATTCTCTTTCATTATTTATAAAATATTCACTTTACCTTCATATATAACGGTAAAATTTTATTTTCCCATTTCATATGCTAATTTTTTCCCTTTCTATTAGTTTCATCTTTCTGTTTGAACAAATTTAAATGCATTCTCTTTCATTATTTATAAAATAATCACTTTACCTTAATATATAACGATAAAATTTTAGTTTCCCATTTCTTATGCTAATTTTTTTTGAACGATCTTCTTATGCTAATATTTTGTAGTTAGTTTTATTTCCTATATAAAAAAACCTTTTTTAAAACAAATCCTTTAATTTATGTCGAAACTATATAATCCTTCAATATAGAAGATATGTTATCCCTGTATAATTTTGAAAAAATTAATTTGAACGACCTTCATACACTATTGTTTTTAGAGTAAACGGTTATATCCCATTTTCTCAAACAAAAAATAAAAAATTAAAACTGAAATAAACAAAATAAAAACAAACAAACAAACAAACAATTACATCCCTTCCCAAGGTCCAAGCAATAATGGAGTTTTTTGGAACATATGAAAAAACTCTTTGGTTTCTACCTCTGTACAATTCCCAAATGAAATCAAATATTGAAACAAGAGGATACACTTCGTATTCCATCCATTCCTACGTTGAATCTAGTCTTTGATAATTTCCTATAAATTACACAACCTTCTAATAAGTTTCATAACAATACAAACCTTACATACAAAATCATTCTTTTACTCATAAGGCTTTGGTGAGATATGGAGAATTCAAAATCCATTTCACTTTTGCCAATTACTTTGAAGTCTTTGTATGATGGATCCATTGCTAGCCTTACCCAACAAACATGAAATTAAAAACTTTTCAAGCACATCACTAAGTTCATGGGTCCTCAATTTCTAGAAGATATGTTATCCATGGAGGATGAACCACTTGGTATGCTACTTGAAATTTTTCTGGAAAATGAATGTGTTTACTCCTAAGTGTGGTGTCAAAAATGATTCTAAAACCTCTACCAAACTGAGGAAGAAGTTTTTTTTCAAAGACCCCTCCCTCTGCCAAAAAATCTAAACAAATTGGAGAATTTGTTACCGGAGTGATGGTGTCGCTGGGAAGGAGACTACAACGGCTAATGCGGAAGTTACATAGCCCACCAAAATTCATGAGATTGTCTATCTAGACTAATTTGGTTTTTAGCCCTGTTTTGGATGACTATGGTGAATTATGCTTTTATTTAAGATGGTTTTTATTTCTATTTATGTTTTTATTTTTCTGTTTTATTTCAATGTCATTTCGTACTAAGTCTTTTACTACCTATGGTCATCTGTTTTGAGGTTAATGAATTTCAATTATGTTATAAATTGCAATTTTATTCTTTTGTTTTCTTTTCATTGTCTTGAGGTTGAGGATCTATTGTGCTGGCTTAGCCCCTATATTTTCATAATGACATGTTATTTATATTTTGTTCCCTTAAAGCTAAAAGAGTTCATAAAATATTATATATTATTTCACACCACTTGTCCACTTATATGCAAAATCGTTCCACTTGCCCTATAATGAAGAGTTTACCCAATATTACTTTACGAGTTTATTCTATGAAGTTATGTAAAAAAAAAAAAAAAACACTCGTACAAAGACTCTGGGTTTAGTCTCAAACAATAAGAAGGAGAGTTATATACAAGATATGCAAATTAGTGAATTACAATTAGAATTGTAAAAAGTGTTCTCTAAATAAGTTATTTTTTCTATATTTAAATTTAAATTTGCATGTTGAATTGGATGTTTAGGGATTAAAAATTATAAATTGATTAATTTGAAAACTTTATTTGTTCAATTTGTTTCAAACTTGATTTTTCAAAATCAAAATTCTTTTTTTAATCTTGATTATTTTATTTGAAGAAAAAACTCTTTGATAGTCTACAGTTATAAAATATAAGTACGCATAATTATCTATAAAGATGTACGTCTCTCAAAAAAAAAAAAAAAAAAAACTACAAATATGTACATATAGAAAGATATTTACTTCTTAAATTAAGATGCTATTAAAAAAAAAAGATTGTAAGTTGCTGTAAACTCTTTGGTTGCACAATTGATAGTTTACAGTTATAGTGCTAGGCTACTAGAATCATATTAGCCATATTTCTAGGAATATACTTAAGTAAAAAATATTCTAGTTAGTTAAGGTTATTTTGAAATTAAAAACACTTTTTAACCGCTAATTTAGATAAGTATGCATAATTATCTACAAAGATGTACATATAAAAAGATTGCACAATTGATCTTCTACAGTTAAAGCATCATATTAGCCATAATTCTAGGAATATATTTAGGCATAAAATATTCTATCTAATTAAGCTTTCTTTTAAAAAGGATATGCTTAACCGCTAATTAAGATAAGTAAGCATAGGCAAGCATAATTATATCGGATGTCTAATGATATACATATAATAGGATATGCTTCATAAAATTAGTCAAAGTTTTTGTATTTAGATAAAACGTTCACGACAAAGGATTATAAGATGAATGACATCATAAATTGTACTTTATCCAAAAAACCAATTGTAAAATTGTACTTTTCTTCTCAAATATACCTGTTCATTTGTTTGTTGACTCGCATTCTTCTTGTATTTCGTAGTTTGTTTGTCATTTTCATACCCTATTCTATGACTTGGTTGTTTTCCCTTTTCCTCAAGGATCTTCTGAATTTTTGACATTTTGTGGATTTTCAACATTCTCGTTGTGGTTATCTCCATCAACTTCACTTCTAAGTGAGAGGCATATTCCATAAACTTTACCAAGTGTACTCACAATCCGGGGTAGTTCTTGACATTCTTCAAGCAATGCATTCACTTGTGGTCTCAATTTAACCGAATTCTCCATAAGAAAAGAGTATGGTTTATCATCAATTGTTGCCATAGAGGCAATATCCTCAAATTCCTTATGCAATGCTAAATATCTCGTTGCTTGTGGTTTTTTGTCCGGTGTAAAATATGGCACTACAAATTTTGTGTACTCCCTAACCAAGTCTTTTCTCCATCGATTTAAGATATACTTTTCAGGAACACATAATATATCCTCCTCATGATATACACTAACCACATGACTACACATGATCCCTCTAAATTCAAAGTTTCTACAATCACACTTCACATCATATGAATCATGGTCAAAGGTCACTTTAAATTTTTGCATGCATGGCCATTTAGCCTTCTTGGTCACTACATCATAAACACAAACACTTCCATTATCCTGGGATTTTGTCGCATTTGTATATGTAACCATACGCACTTGTTCTTGAAACTCTTCAAATTACATTGAGGTATAAAGAAGTAGAAATGCACTCTCACTCACAAATTCGGTGAAGCATAGGGTTAGCTTATTCATTGATCGAAATGTTTCATTTTCCTCCTCATTGGCTTGTTTGCCTAACGTAAGAAATATTGCTCAAAAAATTCTTTGAAGGTAGTATTAAGGTTTACAAATGCTTTGAAAAAAAAAATCATGTTCTAACTATGTTATGTACTAGACATTCCAACCCAAAAGTCATTTTTGAAATATATGGGAACCCACCGATGCCTTAGATTAAACTGTTGAGTTTTACGGTGTGCAAACACCGTGCGGAACCAAAACCCGCCCAAGGACCTCATGCACAAATTAAAGCGACTAAAGCAAAACATGCATATAACTAATAAAGAAATAAACACATAAAGGAGGGGGAGAGAGAGAGAGAGAGAGAGAGAGAGAGAAAGGAAAAGACGTTCATACCCTTGAAGCATGTTTTCCACTTAGCACAAACACGAACTCACCAATGGAGCTAGAGCCTCAAACGCGACTCCTCCAACGTAGTTCACCCACATGCCCAAACTTCGTCAATATTAGCGGTTAGGGTAATATTAACACCACTAACAAGAGGATCTCTTTTTAATGTTTTATTAAAGGAGATGCCTTTTATAGAGTTTAACACTCTTGCAATCAATTCCTAAGGCAAGCCTTGAGTATTTATAGGAAAAGCATCCCATCCCTTTTGATATTCCATTAATGTGAGTCTTTGCAAAGTTGAGAAATAAATGAATTTAATTTAATTCTAAAATAAATTAAAAATGCACAAAACAAATAATCAAACAAGTGGCAATCACATGGGAAGGTTAATTAGGTGAGGACTACAAGGCTCTCCTTGCTCCCAAAGCCAAACTGACCAATGAGAACAGTCAGCTGGCAGCTATCTAGAGCAGCAATGGCTTGCCTTCGTTGGGAAACCTTGCACTCTCGGCTAGCCCAGCCACCCTAGGCCCATCGCTGCCAGCAGGGGTCGCTAGCTTGCGGGCCGCTGCGCTGCTGGGCACTGTTGCTGCTGTCGCAAGCCCGCACGCTCTTGCGGGCTGCTGGTGCTTGCTAGTCGTAGCAGCTGCTAGCTAGGCCCAGGTTTCTAGCTTGCGATGGTGCAGCCCACACTCGACTAGTGCTTGGCTTTCAGCATATGCTGGCTAGCAAGCCTAGCTAGTGTGAATGCGCACCATGCTAGGCTTGCGGCTGGTGCTTGCCTTGCGGCAGCCATTCTAGCCTAGCCCTCGCATGGCTAGGCCAATGTGAGGCTAGGGCTATGCACTTCGACCTATTTATTGTTGTTTGACTTATTTGTACGTCTCGTTAATTCCTAGAATTTAACACGACGTTCGACGTTTGGCTTCGGCTCTAAGCTCGGAATCCAACGTCGGAGTACGTATCCTCTTGTTTGACACATTAAGGCCTTCGGCTAAATTCATCGTCTTAGTTTGGTTGCGCGCTTGGGTGTGACCCGTTGGGTTCAGTTAAAGGAAAGATGTAAGATTAATATAATTAATCTCACTGATCGGAGATGGCCTCTAGCCCGACTTTCCGATCACTTAACTTCACTAAATAATTAGCTCCGTAATTAATTCTGAACCCTCTATCGGAATAGTACACTTGTTCAAAGGACACCATTCTTTTCAATCTCTTGGTGTTGAACCCACCGTAAGCACCATTTGAAGCTACCATACTTGGTGACTATCATGAAGATATTGCGTGCGCACACAAGAATACATTTGCGAGCGCACGGAGCTACGAAGCTCGGAAAATCCAGAAGAGCGTGGGCTCGCAAACCTAGCGCGTGGGAGCGCCAATCTGTTTTCTGGGTTGTTTCAACTTTATTTTCCCGCCTCTTATAGATACTCTTTTAAACCCGATTTTTGTATGAAGTTTTACATATTATTTTCCTAATAATTTTAGCTTAGTGAGAGTTTTTCTCTCTAGATTAGGCTTAGTTTTAGGAGAAGTTTTAGAGAAAGTGAGAGATTTCAATGGTGATTTGATAGATTGAAGAAGCAAGGGTGACAATTGTATTGAAGATCTTTTCAATTATCAATGAGCATCTCTTACTCTATCTCATCTTATTGCTTTCTTTAATTTCATGTTTGTTTGATTTAGTTTTGATGATTGATTCTTGATTAGTGTAGTTGTTCTTCAATATTTGTTGATTCTTGATTTCATTTACTTGCCTTGATTTGATGATGATTGTTAGTGAGTAGTTGCTTTGCTAGGGTTTGGGTAAAACTTGTATGATTGATTGATTGTGATTAATTTGGGAATTATGTTGATTGATTGTAGAGATTAAATTGATTAATGGAAGTTTGCATGTGCTTAGTTTGATTAGGCCTTGAGAACTATGCTAGATTTTCATTGTAGATCCTAATGACATGACCAGTTGATTTAGGATTTGCAATTGTTGATTAATTTGAATTGTGATTCTCCTAGTTTGTTATTCATAGAGGAAACCTAGCTTAATGGTTAGGATATAACTCTTTTATTCTAATTGATAGCTCTTATAATTAGTCTTCACAACCATTGATTGATTGGCTTAACCTTCCCAAGTTGTTGCAATTGTCATGATTACATGTTGATCCCATACCCTAGTGTTTAATTTCTTTGATTCTTGTTTGTTTTAGTAGTTGTATAGTCTTTCTTTACTCTTGACTTCGACCTAGATTAGGCATTGATTAAAAATACTTGAACATAACCGTTCCTAGTGGTTCGACCCTTTACTTACCTCTATACTTGTTTTTAAGTTTGTTAAGTAATTATAAATTTTGTTTGGCATTAGGGAGGATTAATCAACGACCTAGTTTTCCTTACGTCAATCCTCGGAGAATTGGTGAAGGTTACTATAGTTTCGTGTCAAGCTACCTCGAAGCAATGATAGGGAGTGTAGTGTGAACTAAGCTAATCAAACAATCTAGAAATCAAGAAAGAATCAAACACAAAGATTCTAGGGATTATGTTGCACATATAATCATGATAGAGGTGCCAAATTGGGGGTAAATTGAAGCAATGAGTGTTGCAAGGACTAATGGTATTTGCAATCAAGGAGTTCAAAAGGTTATCTAGACTAATTTTCAAGCTAGGTTTCCCCTATGAATGACAAACTAGTAGAATCACAATTCAAACAAATTGAAAATTGACAATCTCAAATCAAGTGGTCATGTCATCGAGATTAACAATGCATTCAAGTTTAGCAATCTAGGTTGATCAATCCTATCAAACTAAACATATGCACAAATCCATCAATCAATTTAATCACAACAATTAAATGATCAAAATCCCTAATAGAACAACCTATCAATCATACATGCTTCCCCAACACCCTAGCTAAGAAATCTACTCATTAATCATTATAAATTGAAGAAACAAAACAAAGCTAATCATCATTATCATCATAATTGCAAATGTAATCAAAATTCTAATCAATTAAGCTAATCAAGTTTAAACAAGCAAAATCAAATTGAAATTTCATCAACAACAAAATTTAAATGCAAAGATTGAAAGCAAGAAGAATAAGAAATCTTTCAAACTTGAAGATGAAAAGAAGAATTAGCTTGAATTGAATTGAATTGAAGAATAAAATGTTGAAATCTACACTTTCTCTCTAATTAGCCTCTCTAATCTCTTTCTAAAAATGCTAAAAATGAAGTCTACCCGAAAATAGAAGGTTCGTACATATTTATAGTTATAAGAGAAAAAGAAGAAAAATAAGAAAAACCGCAAAACAGGGCTGCTCAGGCTTCCTCCTCGACATTTAAACCTCGGAAAATCCTGACACACTTACAAAACAAGTCAAACCACATGGAAAGCGAGAGAATAGCAAAGAAATGCATAAAATGGATAATAAAACCGATAAACACATGCATTTCTCTAGACTAACGCACAAACACGCAAAACAAGCATTACTACCTAAAAACACGACATAGAAAGCTACAAACGAGCATAAAACTACGAAGAAAACTACCCTATGAGTGCCATAAGAAAGACCAAACCTTTGATGCGCTTTATGTTATCTCAACATATTTTGAAAAACCTTGTGTACAAAATGTGAACCATTATCATTAATCACTACCCTACGAACTCCAAACCTCGAAAATATGATCTTTTTGAACAATTTCAATACCACTTTATGATCATTGGTTGGGAGGCAATGGATTACACCCATTTTGAAACATAATCAACCGCCACAAGTATGTATTAATTTCCATAATAAGAAAGGAATGGTCTCATGAAATCGATGCCCCACACATCAAACACCTCTAGCTCAAGAATAGGTTGTTGAGGCATTTCATTCCTCTTTGAGATGTTTCCGGTTCGTTGGCATCGATCACAAGTCTTTACAAAGCCCCAAGTATACTTGAAGAGATGGGGCCACCACAAGCCACATTGAAGGATCTTAGAGGCGATCTTTGAAACTCCCATATGGCCACCACTAGGGTCGGTGTGGCACATCTTCAAGACACTTGAAACCTCCTCATTTGGGACACAACGTCATAACAAACCATCAACTCCACGCTTGTACAAAATAGGATCATCCCACAAATATTGCCTAGACTCTCTCTTGAGCTTCTTTCTTTGATTCTTGGAAAACAAAGGTGGAAACTCTCCACATGCAAGATAGTTCACCAAATCGGCAAACTAAGGAAGTTCCTTCACCTTTATAGCATAAAAAGAGTCATCAAGCATCCTATCATCAATAGGTGAACCATCATCATGGATTTGAAAGTCTTCAAGCCTAGAAAGATGATCCGCTACCACAACTTCCACACCCTCTTTGTCTCTAATCTCGATGTCAAAAGTTTGTAGCTCAAGTACCCAACGAATAAGCCTTGGCTTTGATTCCTTCTTGGCCATAAGATACTTGAGAGCCGCATGATCCGTGAAGACTATGGTTTTGGAACCAATCAAGTATTTCAGAACTTTTCAAAGGCATGCACAATAGATGA